TTTTTAAGGAATTACGTAGGTTTATCAACAACTATTGATCCTATTTTCAAGTTTACTTACAATTTGTAAATTATACCTTTGTTACAAGTTCAGTCTCTTAATCGTTTTAATGGCCTACTTATCTACTTTTGCGATGTTGTCACACGTAAAACACGATCTTTTTAAGAAGCGCAAGTGTCATGCAGAGTATGCAACATGCATACACCATCCCAAGACCACAGGTGTTTCAAGTTGAAAAAGTACTTAAACTTAATTACAAACTTCAAAAAATGACATTGCCACAAAATTTTAAATATGAAATCGATGCATTTTATTATTCGTGCAATCTTTCATTCGAATAAAAAATAGTGTTCGATACGAGGGCGAAAATTTGTTTTTCGAACTCCAAACGGATTGACACGTCAAACGCCGTCGTCGTTCGAAAAACGACATTTTTCGCCCTTGTATCGAAAACTACTATTTTGTGTTTTTTGATGTTTCCACATGAAATCCCCTCGTGTCGCTTAAATGATCAAGCAAAAAACCCCGAAATGCGCTGCCAAGTCGCCGATCGGCTTCTCACAGCAAAATGCAACGCGGCTCAGTATACACTTCTTCTTTGGCATGAATTTGCGAAAATTCCTGCATGTATTTTGTTTCGTATACCGGTAAGCTAGAGCAGTTAATAGTCGTTGGGGCGTTTGGATTGGTAATGGGGTTCTCATGCTTTTCTACTAGCCATCCCTAATATTTAGGCTCTACTAGAAAATTCGAAAAAATGATCATCACTTGATAATTTCTAGAATCGCCCGCACCTTTGGGTTCAGCAACAGAGGCCACGGACTCTATCTAGCCTCGCCATCGGAATTGCAAAAGTTCACGTTGTGTTCAGACTTTTGGTAAGTGTGCGCAGCACTATGATCTCCCCCTGGAAAAACCGCTCGATTTCAGCTCGGATCTATCGGAAATGCTGGGCGAACTGTTCCTGACCTGCGACATGCCCGAGCCGCCCAAAGTGGGCTTCTTCAAGGGGCTGTTTGGAGGCGGAAGCAGCCAGCTGGACCGAGAAGAACTATGTAAGTCGGGCAACGATCTGGCGAGAAAAGCGCTCAAAATTTGCGTTTTTTCAGTTGGTGAGTCCAGTGGAAAAGCGAACAAAGCGATAGCGAAACACATTCCGGGCAGTATGCAAGATGTGGCCCAAAGGGCGTCGACCGCAAGCGGGGAAGTGAACCGCGCCCACAAGTTGATGTTGGAGCGCGGCGACAAGTTGAGCCAGTTGGAAGATAGAGCGGAGCGGATGCGGAATGAGGCGGAGAACTTCAGTTCATCGGCTCACGATTTGATGAACAAGTACAAAGACAAAAAGTGGTACCAGTTATGAACTAGTTTCACAGCTGACTTGGTGTATTTTGGTCGCTTGGAAGCTAGATGTTGTATGGGCTGTATCCTGGCGTTACTAACTTGAAAATCTGAAAGTAACTACTCAGCTCCTACTATGGTATACATACTCCCTGATATGTTGTCCTCAACCTGAGGACGTGAGTTTTTATGTATAAGAACTTAGATCTAAATTATACCTAATCAGAACAATTTCTACGTTTGCTACTGATAAACTTACTGACTAAGCTTTATATTAGACTGTTGATAGAAGGAATAGTATATAACGCGACCTATTCTTTATTATTTCCTTTCGAATTCGCGTGTTCACATCATTCAACACACGTTGTCGGTTGTGAAGTTTGAGTTGAAACGCCTTATTAGCAGTGAACTAATAAGCACATACACTATTGGAAAATTTTGATTTATTTTCCGGACTGCGTGTAATTGTTGTTATATTATTTTCTTTCCTGGGCTCCAGTCACAGTGTGAAACAAACCATTTTTTTGTATATCGTTTATTTCGTTACGTTTCGGCGAGACAA